GCTGATACCGATACATTCTCAGTTCGCTGGCTTGAATAAGAACCGACTTTTCGGGGAAAGAAGAGTGATTTGTTTTTCTTTGTTTTGAATGCACTAAATCTTGAGATGTTTACAAACTATGTGAGTGAGAAGGTTCTATTTGCATCCCAGTTTCGGAGTCCCTACTCACTGCTCTCATTTTTACCTTCTTGCCATCTGCACCCTGTTCTGAATTCTCTGTGTACCTGTGGAGAACATCTTCATAAAGTGGAAACAGAAGTAAGCAAAAAAGCAGAACATTTGGGTTATTCTTTATGTTAATATTTGAAAAGTCAAGGAAATCAGACTTCATGAAAATTGAGGCTTTTGAACTCATAGATCACATAGTACACGAGCAGATGGGCATCCTGATGGCAATCAGCCAAGCAGAGGCAGGCCTTGACAGCCAGACATCCAACTATAACACAGGCATGGGAAGCATTTGGGGCCCAGTGGATGGCAGGACGCACAATGTTGATGACCATTGCTTCTAAGATTTTAGCCAGGAGCCGGGGAGAGGGAACTCTGAGGTGCTTAGGAGCACCCTACCAAGTTCCTGGACAGTTTCTTTTCTCAATATACCCTTGCCTCATGGATTGGATCCTGGGAAACTGATTCCATTTCTTCCCCAGTTCCTTGATGCTAACGGCCCGCTTCACCCGCGTATTTGGTGGGTGATTTGCAGTGACCTAGTTTGTTGCAATAGCAGGCACATGACTGTGTTGTGTGTTGTTAAACTGCATTAGGATATGGTAATGGCTTTATCTGAGCACAAGGGATATTTTCATGAATCTCTGTTGTGTGATTTGAGAATATTACCATGCTGTGTATGGACTTGCCTCAAATACAGCAGTTTAACAATAACAATAACAACAACAACAAAACCTTTCACTGACATGTGATGACTCTAAAGCAGAACAATGCTTTTAGAATCTTAGGGGAAAAAAAAGAAAAGAAAGAAAGCCAGACTTCTGAACTTGTTTTCCTTTACCTATTAATTCATACCAGTAAGGATTGCTTGAAATTTTGCATCGAGAATGTGAAAATGTGAATCATTACTGAATGCAGCCTCTTGGTAGATATGGGCCAGATCAACCCACTTAATCTCATTTGGTAAGATTGAAAAAGCCCTAGCCCGGCTTCCTCTTATTGTCCATCTCAGTGATTTGATGGCGCTTGCGGATAAAAGGCACAGTCTGAGATTATCTTGAGACAATTGCATGAGCCCCCAGTATAATGGCAAGGCAGTAACAATTTAAAATCCAACTGTGGGTGATTAACAAGGCTCTCTCTGCTCCTTCTTCTAATGTATCCTTTTCTTTTAGGTCAGCCTTAGAGGAATGATCTGACAGCTGCCTATTAGCTGGAGGATTTAGGTTGTAGGTTTCAATTGTTTATTGGTGACTGGGTTTCAATAGCCACTGTCTTCACATCTTATGACAGACAGGTTGTGCCTCAAAGGTCTCAGTCAGTGGTAGCTCTTTTTTCTCCTTCTCTTTCCCTTGCATTCTTTGTGGCTTGGAATAAAATGTAACCTGGGGAACTTTAAGAGAAATAAAGAACAAGAGAATTTTCACTGCACTCTGCAAATTGCACACAAAGGTATGCAAGCATTTGCAAATGTAATTTTGGGTTCAAATTCAAAAGCCAAGAATATTGCAATTTGGTTGGAACTGCTTCTTATCCTTTGGAGCTTAAGTCCAGTGGTGCATTCTGCCTTGAGGCCATGAAGAATGCTCCTGAGCTTTTGATTGAGATGTACCTATTTTATCTCTTTTCTAAAGTTGAATGGTTTTTGTCTTTCTTTGTGATGGTCTGGCCTTTTGGGTCTTATTCTGTAGAGTTGGAGCATCTGTGGTGTGAGGGGGATTTGTTGGGAAAAGGCACACTTTTCCTGGCATGTAGCTTAGATGTCTTAGATGCACAGCCCATGTTTAGACAAATATCAATGAATGAAGGAGAGGTTATGCTGGGAGTTGGGGTAGAGAGAGATTAATGATTTAGAAAGTGAAAGGGGGAAGAGGCAGAAATGATTGTCTTGGGTTACTGTTCCTGTCACAGATAGAGCACTGCATTTATGCTGATCTAGATCGGGAGTGGGATGGGTGGGGGTGGGGGCAGTGCTCTATGGTCAGCTTGAGGATAATGTTCAAATCATTTCCTAACTTTAAAATGACTCACTGAAGGCCTGCTGTATCTCTGCCCGGGATAGGGTTTCATGTGTTTTAACTGAACTCAGATGACTTGGAGTCTCTTTTGCTCTGGGTAATGGTTGCATTCTTGGGAAAATACATGGGGCTGCCGCTCAGCTGATTTCAGGAAGACTGGAGCATGTGTGCTGTAGCAATGGAAGCATCTCTCTTGGGATTCTGATTTCCCTTTCAAGGAACTTATCATGAGTTTATAATGAAATCATTCTGGTTAGGAAGAATCCCCAGCAGCAGATAAAAGCTTGAATCATCTCTGGGATTCCCCTTTGAGATTTGCATTCAACCATGAGACCTGAGGTCGGAAGATGGCTGTTTACAAAGGTGGTTGAAAGGGAATTGTTAAAGGCATTTTCTAGCAAAATGGAGTCAAACCCACCACGTTGGTGATGTTCTTTGAAGTAAAGGCCCAGCTTTGATCCTTTCATACTTCACCCACAGCGATTCACTGTATAGCATGTCTTATCACTTTTCTTGCTCCCGGAGCAGACTAGATCATTCCTCCTCTGCTCAGTGGCGGCTTGTATTTTCATCTGTGTATTTCTCAAGATGACCGAGAAGCCTGGCAGTGCTAAACTACAAACAACGTGTACTTTCTGACTAGGAGAAATTGCCAACGGTGAAAGGGGCCCTTTTCAGTATCACACCAAGGACTTTCTTTCCTTTTCTCTTTTCTAAAGTGAGTGATGGTGTCGATAATAGAGGGGGCCTTGAGTTCTAGGCACTGCAAGCTCCTCTCCCACCTAGAGTCTCAGTGGAAACACGCCCTCCTCCTAAATCTGAAGCTTGTGCCGTGTAGCAGCTCCGTTGAAAATACCAAGTGACAAGAGGTGGCAGTGGGTGACAGACAAGTGCTCCGGTAGAAGCCTGCTGGAACAAGTCACAGGTTCTGATGTTTAAAGGGATGGCTGCCTCCTCAAATGTCTGATGTCTGCTCAGGCGTGAGGAAACTTCCAGGTCACAGATGCTTTTTTAATCAGCTGGAACAGGGGATGAAACACTCTGGTGGTATTTCAGGATACGGAAACTGGACCGGTGGGTGAGGGGACCGCAACTGTTCAGGGAGATGACCCTCGCCCTTGATTCCATCTTTTCCAAAGAGACTCAACTGCAGTCCTTGATGGGTTTGTGGTGTGGATACTAAAGGAGGGTGTGCCAGTCAGTTCTTCATTGTGAGGAAGACCCGAGAGAGGCGACGGAGGAGGAAAGATTATGTTGAGCTCTGTGTTTCACCCTGTGCTTGGTTGGCACCTTTGTTTCTGGGCCACAGTGAGGCAGATCGTCATTGCAGGGAGGCCTGGAGGAGAAAGCTGCTCAACTCATGGCAGCCAGGAAGCAGGGAGAAAGGATCAGAGGCCCTGCCACCAGTGACTCACCTCCTCCAGCTGGACCCTGCCTCCTGAGGTTGCCACCAACAAAATAGCCCTGCCACCTGGAGTTTAGGCAGTCATACATGAGCCAGAGTTGCCTTAGAGTCAAACCATAACAGGGTCATTTGCATGGAGTACGTGCGGTGCTCTCGAGTGGATGTGGGTTTTAGGTCCGTTGCCGCATCCTGAGCTCTGAATGGCGGTGTACTAGTTTTTAACCTGATTGTCCATTTCTCATTAAATAAAATGATCATAGTTCACCCCAGGATGGAAAGTAGAGGCTAATTAACCAATATAAGATAAAATAATGTATAAAATGCCCAATAAAGTGCCTGTCACTCAGTAAAGGACACCAAAAAAATAACAGGAAAAATTAGCCAGGCAGTAAGATATGATTTAACAGATGTATCTTTCCCCTAGAAAAATGAGAAAGTTCTGTGAGATTGTAAACTGACTATCCCCACTTTAAAGCTAGTAATAATAACAATAACACCGACAAGGGATTTGAATTACAGTAGGGTTCTGATATCATTAAATAGTATGACTAGTGACCCAGTAATGCTCTAAAACTGTCCAACATTAATTTCTTCCTTTCTCCTCTGGGGTTTGAGCTTGAAGCCTAATTAGCACTCCTTTCCTTCAGGACACGAAATAGGAAGTCTTCTGATTAGCGGCACCCAGGTGGAGACATAGAAGATGTAGTTAGTTGTCTGTAGAAGAGGCCCTTGGGCCAATGATCTACTCTGCAAAGAGGTGGCAAGGCCAGTTCTCTGGGTTGGTGTACTTGTCCTCTACAGTCTGTTTCACAGAGAGGAGTCACAGCTCACAGAATGACTGCCACCCATTAAGGAGATGTGGCCCACTATTCAACCAGAGGAAAGTCTCTCTCCCCACACAACAGACTAGTGTCTGGCTCCAGATCCCACGCTCTTGCCTCCCTGCCAGGAGGCTCTACGATTTAAAAGATAAGAGCCTTTCTGATGAGGGTGGATATGCTGTGTCTTCTCCATAAGCTTGCAGAACGTCCTTAATCATATTTACTTGAGTGTTCTTTCTCCAGCATTTAGCTTTTTAAACCCTACCCAGGTTGGTGGATAAGTTACTTTATTTTTATCTTAGAAATCCATATTGAGAAGTTTGCATTAGTTATCCTTTTTCTTTTGAAAAGGAAAACGGGTTATATTTGCCAGCAAAATATTGGTGTTTTCAGTGCACAGACTCAATTTTATTTACACGTTAATAGAGTTAGGTCCGGGTGACATGTGATAAGATCTTTTCGGCAGACACAGGCACCCTGTTAGAATGCACTAGCAGAACAGAACCAATCCAATCATGTCGTTAGGTGCTTCTAACTCTACACTCATGATTCAAGAAAAAAATTCCTCCTCCGTCTGTGCTTTTCAAGGAAACATGGGACAAAGCGAGCTGAGCTGTGGGCTCTGATCCTCTCCTGCGTACCTTCAGAAGAAGCTTGATGGGAAACGCTCAGGAAGGGGAGACGCCTATCCCCAAGTGAACTGTTCTTGCTCCATCATTTCATCAGTTACTCAGTTCTATTCAGGTAATGCCTACTAAATGATCCCTATGCCCTAGAAACATTCTGGGTACTTTGAAGTGTTTAAAAAAAAAATCATAGAATTTGGTTTTTTCCTCTTATGGAGATGAAAATTTCTTGGGAGTATTTTGCATTCATGAAGGAAATAAATAAACCTGAGGGCTTAATTCAATTAAATTTTAAGAAGGTGTTTGGAGAATAAACGTATTAGGAATAGTTTCCAACCACAATATTGTTATAGTCTCCTGTCAATCATTTATGAGCTTTGTCAGCTATACTTTACTAGTAATAATAAGAAGCGCCCAGTCTCCGTGACCTCAAGACCTTGCTATCGGAGGATCCATGCTCTGAGCTACATGCAGATCTCACAGAGAACCTACTAGCCCTACAGGGGATTTATTCTTATGGTCAGAAGCTGCACCTTGCCCTAGCCACAAGTGCCCCCACACCACAAGTGCCCCCAGGACGAGCCTTGCGAACCATTCAGCTGGTCTAAAACATGCCAAATTTGGGTAACATCCAATAGAGATCCAAACACCCACTCAACAAAGGTGGGTAAGATAACCACACCAAAAGACACAGCCAACAGTCTAATTCCAGATGCCTAGGTCCCATCACAAAAACACAAATAACAGGGAAAAAGACTGCTTACCAGCATTAACAATCAAAACCTAAAATTTGCAAATTACTTGTTTTTGCTTATATGATGAAATAATTTGTTGAGGGAGTGAAAGTCAGAAAAGTAATAATTACTGGGCCTCATGCAATTTAGGGTCACTTCACCACTGAGTTACTACCCTGATCCTGGTTTAATTAGCATCCACACTAGACTGTCCAGTTAAGTGACTTATACCATATATCATTTTCTTTAACCTAGATGAATCTCTGTCTGCTTGACCCTCCACCGCCTGTCTGTCTGTCTGTCTGTCTGTCTGTCTCTCTCTCTCTGTGTGTGTGTGTGTGTGTGTGTGTGTGTGTGTGTGTGTGTGTGTGTGTGTGTGTGACTGTGCATGTGGTTAATGTTGAGGCAGGGTCTCTCACTGCATTTGTAGCATACTAATTTGGCAAGACTACCTGGCCACCACCCAGGAATCTCCTGTCCCTGTCTCTCCAGTGCTGGGATCAGTGTGTGTCTTTGTGCTGGCTAGTCTTATGTCAGCTTGGCACACAAACTAGGGTTATCATAAAGGAGGGAGCCTCAGTTGAGGAAATACCTCCGTAGGATCTGGCAGTGTGGCATTTTCTTAATTAGCAATGGGGGAGGGCCCAGCCCATTGTGGGTGACTCCGTCCCTGGGCTGGTGGTCCTGGGTTCTATAAGAAATCAGGCTGAGCCAGCCAGGGGAAGCAAGCCAGTACTCAACATCCCTCCATGGCCTCTGCATTAACTCCTGCCTCTGGGATCCTGCCTTGTTTGAGTTCCTGTCCTGACTTCCTTTGAGGATGAACAGCAATGTGGAAGTGTAAGCCAGATACACCCTTTCCTCCCCAACTTACTTTGTGGTCATATTGTTTCATTGTAGCAATAGAAACCCTAACTAAGACAGTTATTCAACTTGCCTTTTTTTTCAGTGTGGGTGTTGGGGATATGAAACCATCTCCTCATACTTACGCAGTAGGCATTTGACTGGCCAAGCTCTCTTTCCAGCCTCTTTACCCCTTTTAATCATGTCCTTGACGTACTGAAAAGAAGGCATTCATCTTAGAATGTTTTACATTGTTGATTTATCTGTTTCTTTGAGTCAACATCTAAGAGAAGGAGATTCTTTTTTTTTTTTTTTTTGATATTATTTCCCGATCCTTTTTGGGTTTCAAAAGTGCTTACAATTTTTCTGTAGCAGACTTGCTGTTCGTTGTTGTCAGGTCCCAGGAATAAAGTTATGATGTATTTTCTTTCAGCATTGGATATGATCCTATTTTAATATTTCACTTATAATCTTACAGTATTTTTGTGACAATTAGAGACATCCTTTTGTATCATCTTCATATAAAGTTTTGGTTGATGAGTCTTATGTGTTTGGAACACACCTGTCCTGCAGTCTGTGGCCGTCTAAGCCTCAGCCATGCAGTGTGATACACTTTAGTTGTTCAGACTGTTTGGTGGTCTCCTGGGCTGATTTGAAGAGCAGCCCTCTGGAAGCCTGCCTGCTTCTTGTATGATACGTGGGCCATTGAACTTTTGAATCTGAATTTGACTTAAGTTATCTGTTTCATCAGGGTTTTTAAGTGATTTCATGGCCACTCTCCCAATTTCATTATGTAGATTAAAAATTACTTTCCTTTGATGGTTGTTTTCCTTGGTCATATTGTTGTGTATTTGTGCTGTTTACCTTTTTTTGTTAAGGAAAAAAAATAGATTTACTGGAGGTTTATCCATTTTATTAATGTTATTCAAAGGATCAAATTGTGTGTGTGTGTGTGTGTGTGTGTGTGTGTGTGTGTGTGTGTGTGTGTAGGCCAGAGGACAACCTAGATCTGGACCTTGTTCCTCAGGCACTATCTACTTTTTTTTTTTCTGACAGAGTCACTCACTGGCCAGGAACTTGTTAGGCAGGTGAGGCTGCTGGCCCGTGAGCCCTTGGGATTTCTCTGTGGGCTACTTCCCTGTTCTGTGATTACAAGCACATACTACCAATACTCGGCTGCTGCTGCTTTTTTTTTTTTTTTTTTTTTTTTTTTTTTTTTTTTTTTTTTTTTTTTAGCTAACAGTTTTAAAATTTATTTTCCATACCGACCATATTTTCCTTCCCTCCTATCCTCCCATTTCCTCTACCCTCACTCCCATCTGCCCCCCTCCCCACCCACTCCTCCTCAGTCTCCATTCAGAAAGGGGCAGGCCTCCCATGGACTTGAACAAAGCCTGGCACATCAAGTTGAGGTGGACTGAGCTCCCCCCTGCATAAAGGCGGGGTGAGGTAACCCTTCTTATGGGTGGTGTGAGTGGGCTCAGGCCTTCCTGCTCACAAGGCAGCTTTGCTGGCTGAGCCATCTCCCAGCCCATTCTTTCTTTTGGATGTCTGTCTTTTCCCTCCTCTTCGGAGCTGGTATTTAATCTAGTTTCCACTTCCACTGATATGAAAGATTTGGAAGTTCTGTGCTTTTATGTGAGCATTTAATTTATCCATATCCTCTGCAAAACATTGTATTTTATTCATTTCTGCTCTCAGAAATTTTGCAATTACTTTTTATATTTTCTATATTATATCTCTCCTTGCCACAAGATTTATATGAGGGTTTGTGTGTGTGTGTGTGTGTGTGTGTGTGTGTGTGTGTGTGTGTGTTCATATTTCCAGGTAGAAGGGGGTTGTACTTCTAGTTTTATTTCCTCATGGTAAAAATATACCATTGGCTTTAGTTTTTATGGATGTTATTATTTCTTTTAACTTTTTTATGGCTTAATATCTTGTTAATTTTTAAGTAGGCCTTATTTTTTTCTTTAAAAAAGTACATTCTCCATTACTAGAATGTCAATAAGTTCTATGTTGTTTGTTGTCTGGGCATTTTATATCCTTACTAATTGTTTTTACCTGTCTGGGTCTGTGCAGTAATGTTAATTGTCAATTAGACAGAATCTAGACTCACTTGAGAGATGGGCCTGCAGAACGGTATACCTGTGAGAGATTAAGACTAGCCCTGAAAAATCTAGAGATCATCTTGATTATGTCAGTGACGGGAAGACCTGCCCACTGTGGGTGACCCCATCCCCTGCATACGAAATCCTAGAGCATGTAAGAGTAGAAAAAGTGAACTGAGCATTAGCGTGTATGCGTTCATCACTCTTCTTATGACTGAGATGTAATATAACCAGGGGATTCCAGCTCCTGCTGCCTTGACCATCTCAACTGTGGTGGATTTGTACCTCAAAATGTGGCCTAAAAATTACCCTTCCTCCATTAAGCTTTTTTTCGGAGTATTTTTTTTTTGTTGTTGTTTTTCGAGACAGGGTTTCTCTGTGTAGCTTTGCGCCTTTCCTGGGACTCACTTGGTAGCCCAGGCTGGCCTCGAACTCACAGAGATCCGCCTGCCTCTGCCTCCCGAGTGCTGGGATTAAAGGCAGAGTATTTTTTTAATCATAGTAATAGAAGAGAAGCTAAAATAGTCTGAAAGAAGTCAGCATGAAAATCATATTTTTTTATTATGGCCTTATTGACATGATGGTTACGTTTGATATTGTTTTTATACTTCATCTATTTTAAACTTGTGTATTTTTTGTTTTGTATGAATATTTTCCCCTTTCACTTCAAAGTTTACTTGTTAAAAAAGACACATTCTGGAGCAAGGGAGATGGCTTGATGGGTAAAATGATTGTCCCACGAGCATGAGGACCTGAATTCAAACCCTAGGTACGGATGTAAAGCTGGGTGCCGTGGTATCTGTCTGTCATTCTAGTGGATCTACAGCAGGTGGGAGATGGAGACAGAGGAGACCTGAAAGCTTATTGGCCAGCTAGCCTGGTGTATACAGGGGCAAACATCAAAGAGACCTTTTCTCAAGCAAGAGATTGTCCCCTGACCTCTCCACACATGCCATGGTACTCACATGTCCGTACTTCCACACAAGCATGCACACACAGATATGTATGTACATATGTATACGTATATGTATGTAAACACACACACACGGTAAGAAAACACAACAACAGATACATTTTTGCCTATCTATAACACTCTTATTAGGTCTAACCTACTTGTTTCCTATGATGAAACCACTGAGATTAACGGAAACCATTTCCCTTTCTCCCATTGTTTTCTGTGCTCCAGTTTTATTTGCTGACATTAGCAGCAATTTCTTTTCATCTTAAGTGCAGTTAGTATTAACAGTTTGATTTATAGGCTTGGGAGCATCCACAGAGAATCAAACATACACCCTTCTGAATGCCTGTGTTGTAACCAATGAACTCGTTTCCCTTTCTGTTCGATGTCCCTTCTTTGTCTAGAAGGTGTCACTTTGGTTTTCCACTGTCACAGCACATGCTGAGGTGGGTGGGTGGGGGGCGGGAGGGAGTTC